GAGACAGTCTCACCTATGTAGTTCAGACTGGCTCTGACTTCACTACGCGGCCTGGAACTCATAGCAATCTGCCTGCCTCAGCCTCCCCATTGCTGGGATTACAGGCATGTGGCACTATGCCTGGCTTTAAAGCCAGGTTTAAGGTGGTGGATATAGCTCAGTGGCACAGCGCCTGCCTGGCAAGCATGAGGTCCTGAGTTCAATTCCCAGTACCAAAAAAGAATAAACAAACAAATATGCAGAGGGAGCCCAGACTCTTTAAAAAAAAAAAAAAAAAAAAAAAAAAAAAAAAAAAGCCAGGTTTAAGATGAATTCACAGTTCATTACTACCAGTGATGAAAGCAGCAGCGGATCCCTCTCTAGTTTTAAGAACCCAAAAGTCCTTGGCTTCCCATCATTTCCACCCCACCAAGGAAATTTGAGAGTGGCTGTCCCGGAAGAGGAAAGGCGCCTCAGGAGTCCCTGTGGGGGCAGACTCTGGGTGGTTGTTTATTTTTAGGAGGAGGTGCCGAGGGTTTGGGGCTATTCTCTAAGGCTCTGGGTAAGTCTGACACCACCTCCCACCCCCGACCCAGCCTTCTCCTCCCACTGGCAACATTTTTTCTCTCAGTCTCACTTTTTCTCTCCCTGACTAAATCTGGAGTGTGAAGCTGCTCTTCTTCCCAATTTAGCATCGCATTCAAGTGAGAATCCGAATGTGGCTGGAAAGCTGACTGCCATCTGTGAGAGAGAGGGAAGGACAGGAGCATGGGCACCTGCGGGGAACCAGAGCGAGGCACCAGCGCTGGGCAGTGCCTGCAGCCCCAAGCGCAGGCAGGCACAGGCAGCAAACCTGGCTCTACAGGGGAGCTGAGGTGTGCAGGTATTCTTGCAGGAGAGGGAGGATGCTGCAGGGGCATCAGTTAGCCATTCCGCAGAAATGTGCAGAGTGCTTACTGTGTGCCAGGCCATGCTGAATGCTGGACAAACTGGTGAACCAGCCGGATCTGTGACCTACAGCGGGGTTTTCAGGCTGTGGGGGACACAGGCCCTAGTTAGGCAGGGTAGTAAGTGCTATCAGGAGGAGAGGTGTGATGGACGCCTGGAGGGCACATCTGACAGCCTTCGGGGAGGTGGCCAGGAGCCACTTCCCCACTCACCTGGTGAACCTGATAACCAAAGCTCCAGCAGACAGAGGGGGGCAGCTAGAGGCTGAGTGTGCCTGAGCATGCAGGGCAAGAAGCTGGTACCGGCTGGGCTGGCTTCAGAGCTCCCATTGTGCTCTTCTCCCTGTCCTCCTCCCTTCTTCATGGAGAACAAACCAGATGAGAGTGACCTGGGCCACAGAAGTGTGGAAGCATGAGCACCTTCTGCTCAGGCTGCAAATAATCCGTGTGCAACCTCCTGAGTCCACAGCTCAGAAAGCCACATCCAGCAGGCCTAGGATAGACCTAGAACAGGAAATGGGATCTGGGTAGTTTGTGGGAAACCAAGCAAGGTACCAGAAAGTCTCTGCCTGATTTAGCTCAACCTCTCCTTCCTAGACATTGGCTGAGCCGATCTGCAGGGTCTGTACCTCTTCAGAAGTCAATAGGACTGAGCCGTGATTCTGGTTGAGATGAGGTGGAAATTCTGCTGAAGACCTGATGTTGCTAAAAAATAGGGTGTACATTTACCTGCCAGGGCTCAAATGATGGGATAGCTAAGAGATTCTAGTATGTGATCACTTATTTGCCTGGCACACAAAAAAGAGGGGAATTAATCAGGGATGCAAGGGTCAGTGTGGGACAGAAGTCAGGGAAAGGTGGATCACTGGCCCTGCAAGAATACATGGGGATAAGGGTTCCAGGCTGCACAGAGGAAACCAAAGGAGGGAGCAGGGAAGTCTGGAGAGCAGGCCTGAGCTGGCCACTATGGCCATGTCCAGGGAACAGTGCCACTGGATGAACGTCTCTGCCTCCTCCTCCTTCTTCATCATCTTCTTCTCGTCCTGTCCTTCTCCTCCTCCTCCTCCTTTTCTGTGAAGACAGGGTGTTGCTCTGTAATTCAGGCCAGCTTTAAATTCATTTTGTACCCCAAGCTGGCTTTGACCTCATGTCAGTCCTGATTCAGTCTCCCCAGAGCTGGGATTCAGGTGTGCACCGGCCACACCCAGCACAACACCTGACTCTCAGGCCAGCTCCAGCATATTTTCTAAATGCAATTCAAAAGCTCAGGTTGGCCTAGGTGAGGTGACACACACCTGTAATCCCAGCACTTCGGAAGGCTGAGGTAGAAGAATCACAAGTTTAGGTCCTGTCTGGGCAACTTGGGGAGACACTGTCAGGGGTGTGGCTGGGGATATAGCTTAGTGACAGAGCACCTCTGGGTTTGATCCCATGCCCCACATGCACGCACGTGCACAGCCCTGGGTCTTTTGGGCTGAGGGACTCTCTCACGGTCAGCCTGGCAATTTCCCTGCCCCAGGAAGGATGCCTGATCCTCACACACCAAGGAGGCACCTTTTAGGACAGACCACCTGTGTAGAGAGTGGGCGAGGGGTGTGTATACAAGCTGGGCTTAGGCAGAGATTGCTTTAGAATCCACAGCCGTACTGTGCACCCTTCAAAGATGCTTTCTTTGTACTCACTAGATTGGGGCATGTGGTTCTCTGCTCACAAAACTTTGAGGGGATTGACTACAAGCTTCGCCATCCGCGGCGCACAGAATCCCACATTGGAAGAGAGATGCGCCACCTAGTGGGATTTTCCCTCTTTGCACGGACTCTTCCTACCATTCTGCCTGCACTGCAGCCTAAGCATGGGAGCTGCTCAGGCAGGACCCAAACAGAAGCCGCTGTCCAGCTCTGAGGACTTAAGGTGCTTTCCTCGCTCTTCCAACCAGGTATGACCCAGCACAGAGAATAAAACTGGGGCGGGGGGAAGACTTTGGAGGGAGATGATCACCCACGGGCTGAACTGTAAGGTGATGGGGAAGCTATCAGGGTCTTTAGACTCGGGAACAGCCCGTTTCCATCCACATGCTTCTACCCTCCTCAGCTCGGCCTGCCTCCTTCTGGGCGGGGCCGGGCCAGGCTCCCTTTGCTAATCAGGGAGAGAAGGCTTTCCTTTGACGTCAGACCTGGAAATCCCATTTTAAGCAGGTTCTCTGAGTATGGAACACCCACAAGAAAGAAAGGAGGAGCCAGCTGAAGCGGTTCCAGACCCCATCACAGCCGGGGATGGAGGTATAGAGGGAGCTGCCCAGTGTCCGCGAGGAGCCTTGGTCACAGGACACAAAGCTAGACTCCAGCCCCAGCCCCAGGCCCCAACTCAAAGCTAATACCTTTCAAAGCCCCCTAGGGACCCAGGCACTGATCTGATACCAGACCCTACCTCTGGCAATAAACTTCTATTCTGACATCTCTTTTCCCACATCCTAGCCTACAGATATCTACTGAGGCAGATAGGAGCCAGCAGATGGTCTCAGGTCATGAGGGGACAGACAGCGAGGAGTCACCTACACCTACACGTGCCCCCTGGCAGCTTCCTCCTAGGAGCCTTTCCACGCCTTCCTTTTGTCACCTCTCATTTTCCTTCTGCCCTGCATCACATGGGGAGGGCCTATGCCCTGAGTTCTAGAAGCCTGTTTCCATGGAAACAGCTGAGAGCTTGGAAATCTGGGCGCTTCCTTTTGACACAGGAAAACCCAGATGTGCATGGAGAGCCCAGCAATGCAGAATCTGGCTGTGACCTCTATATCCATCAGTCATGGGTGCAAACATGTACCTGAATGTGAGTGCATGTGTGTGTGTGTGTGTGTGTGTGTGTGTGTGTGTGGTGTGCATACACCATAGCAGAGGAGACTTAGGTAAAGTGTGCCTGACCTAGTTTCCTGGTCATATGGTAGCTGCTGACATCTTGCAGGAGATCTTTCTAGAATGAGTCTCTCTCCTGAATTTTACCCTGGAAGCTTGCCCTTCTTTTGGATAGAGAAAGGGGCCAGAGTGCTCAGGGTGCAGTGGTGAAAGCAGTGGCTCTCACAGGGGTCACTGGAGGACCCCAGGACAGACACTAGGCTTCTCATATACTGCTCCCTGTGCTAGGGAGAGCGTGCAATACCAAGGAAGGAAGGAAGAGGACAGCCTCACAGAGGTGCACTGCGTCACACTCAGGGTCCAGAGCCTGGCGAGGCCTCTGCTCAGGCCCTCTCCCCACCCCCATGCTCTGCTTCCTGCACTCTCCTGCCAGGCTGAGCTACAGACTGTTTCTCTGCTCTGCCCTTTCTCTTGCTCCACTTGCTTGTTAATCTCTCTTCTGCCACTGCTTCTACTATTCTTTCTTCTCCTGGGTTGTGGCCTTCAGGGTTCTCAGCCCCGCCAGTGGTACTTGCCGCGGCCTGAAGCCTTTTTCTCGCCTCCACTCCGCCTCTGGTCCCAGCCTTTAGTGCTCGCTCCCTTGTCTGCCTCAAGACTCCAATGACTTGGCCTAGCCCCTTCTTCTCTCAGCCCCTTCAGGGTCTGCCTTCATCCCCTCCAATGTTTTCTGGCCTTTCCAGGAACTGCAGCCACCCAGGCTCCAGCGCCATATCTCACCTTCCCTTCCTTGGGCGCTTCCCTGGGGTCTGTATCCCTAGAACTTATATCTGACACTTTCTGTGTGATACCACAGGGTCTAGGGTTTGGGGGCAACATTTGAAGGGGCAAGACAACTCCTGGGACCCCTCTTAAGTACCTAGCTTTATTTTGAACTCCAAAACCATTTTCTTTTTCTTCTTTTTTTTGTCTTTTTCGTTTTCTTATCGGTACCAGGGATCGAACTCATGACTGCCTGCTTGCAGGCGCTTATGCCGCTGAGCCAAATCCCCAGCCCCAAAACCATTTTCTTAAAACTGAAGACAGACTTCCCTAGAGATCAGAGCTCCTGGGGTTCACAGTCTGGCCTTGTCCTCTCCTCTGTCCCCCTCCTGGGTGCTGCTTCTCAGGTGAGATCCTTCTCCTTGTGGACTGGGGAGAGTAAGAAAAACACAGAGGCCAAAATAAATGAGGTGCCAGAGTTTGGTTTATTGGCTCATCCAGTGACAAAGGTCCAATGGGCAGCCTCTTCCAAGGAACTGGGAGCCCCCTGGCTGCTGCCTCTCTCTCTTTCCTTCACAAGTTCCTCCTGGCCCTGACTGAAGCCATGGCAGAAGCAGGGCAGGGTGTGGGGCTGAGCTGGACTCACAGGGGTTTGCTTGGCACAGGCAGGGGACCCTGGGCAAGGAAGGATGGGTCCCCCTGGGAAGAAAGAAGCCAGCTCAGCAGGCCTTCTATGGTGGGCCCCAGGAGTGGATGAGTCCAGTCCAGGGCCAGCAAGGCTGGGAACAAGTGAGGGGACAGTGATCAAGGACACAGCGGTAGGTAAGAGGTGCCTTGGAGCCCCATGCTGTGATGGGTTGGGGTCCTTTGAGGCTCAGAGACTAGCAGAAAGGGTCAGGAAAAAGGTCAGGAAAGAGTGGGACAAGGTGACCCCTGAGGGAGAGTCCTTCACCCAAACTCCCTCTGCCCCAGCCCTGGTAAGATGCACACATTCTCTCTCTCTCTCTCTCTCTCTCTCTCTCTCTCTCTCTCTCTCTCACACACACACACACACACACACACACACACACACACACACCCCTGGAGCCCCATCTCTCTAGTAGGGACAGGAAGCACACAGGCCCCCAGCTGAAGCTCTGGGTGGGCCATCCTGCCCATTTAATCCCACATGAACCCCATGTCCTGCACTGGCAGCTGTCCAGATCCCCAAAGCCTGTGCCCATTTGCTCCCTTTCTCCTAGTGTCTGCAGGTCCCTCCTTGCCCATCTGTTCTGCAACTGTACCCCTTCTCAACCTGGGGAAAGCAGTGGGCATATCAGGGCTCAGAGAAGGGCTGGCCACAGTCTTCAGCAAGGCACTGGGTGGGCGGCGCAGGGCTGGAGCAGGGAGAGGAGTGGCCAGCCTGGGGAGACCCCATCTCCTTGGGGGCTCAGTCCACAGAGCCTGGGCCAGCCTCTGCCATCAACCTCCACAGCTGGGCCTCCCTCTTTTCCAGGCCCCCTCCAGCAAAGTGGCTACTGGGTGGGCCCCAGAAATGGCTGCCTGAGGGGGGCCCAGTGTTGAGACACCTGGGCTGGTGCACAGTGTGGAGCAGGGGCTGGGGCTGCACTCTGGGGCTTCCTCCTCACTCTGCACACTGTGGCCTGGGCTGAGGACATCACGCTGAGTCACCCCCACCAGAGCTCTTCTTCTTAGGCCGGGTCTTCAATGTCTTAGAAGCCAGTGGCTGTCAAGGGAAGGAGAAGGGGGAGACAGGGCTTAGGTTGCCCCACATCCTGTTTCCCCAGCTCTGACCCATGCTCTCACCTCAGCTTTGGGCACTTTTTTGATGGATTTGACCCTCTTGGGGGCCTTGTCTCCCATGTCATCCTCTGAGGCCTCTGTTCGGGGATCTGCTTGGATTGTGGTAGACCTTAAACTCAGGGTAGGGTCATCACCTGACAGAAGAGAAAAAGAACAGGGGTCAGGGTGTCTTTTCCACCTGCGCTGTTTTGACCCCTGCCTCCATGCAGCCCTGGGGCCTGCCTGTACCTAAGTCCTCAATGGTGTCCAGGAGGCCAGCAGGGCTGGGGCGGAGGCGGCCCTCTGGCCCCTGCAGGGGCAGTGCATCCTCATCTCGGATCAGCGTCAGGTCCTGCATGCTGAAGCTCCGGAGCTTCTCTGACAGCACCCCCTGGCCCTAGGGTCACCACCATGCACCAAGAGAGTGGGGGAGGGGGCGGGGTGGAGACAGAGGTCACCATGGTGCCGGCGGCAGTGCTTATCTACACTAAGCCTCGCCGGGCTTGTGCGGCCGGGACCATACTGTCTGTTTGGTCAGATGAGGAAATGGGCCAGATAGAGGCCACACAGTGGAAGTGACTCAGCTGGAGAGTGGCAGAGGTGCACAAACCCATAGCCTCCACAGTCCTGAGGACAGGGGGTCGTCAAGTGGGTGCCCTGGAGTCTCACCTTGGCAGCAGCTGTGACAGCAGCATTGGCGGCCAGGTTTAGGCCCCTCTTGCCTACCCTCATCATGGTCTCATAGCTCTTGTCCCGGGCCTGTGTGATGTATTCGTCGATCTCCTGAGGGGTTGGCGAAAGGACGGGCAGGTGAGAGGGGAGGGCAGCTCTGCCTTTGTTCACACCTGCACTGAGGTACTGGCCCTGCCAGGTCACCCACAGGGAGAGCCAAGAGTGTACATGGCTGTCTCAGCTGGGGACAGGCTGAGCAGGAAGCTGAGAGCAGGGCAAACCTTCTCCTTGTTGGACAGTGTTGGGTGCACGAACTTTCGGTAGAGCACGCTGGAGCCCTTGGTGTAAGGGGACAGCAGCCAAATCACAAAGGCGATCTTGAGCTCAAAGTAGAAGGGGAACCTGTTGAGGGCAAGGCAAGCACAGGGAGAGTCAGGGTGCACTGACCCAGCAACACCGACGCCCCTCTTGACCCTGCATGACCCTTCACTTTGTCGTGTGCTAGAGTCACCACGGAGCTCCACAGCGAACTGGGTGGCTCAGCTGAGACTCCAGGTGCAAAGGTGGTTCTGCAAGGAACTCTGGGTGGCAGTAGCTGTCCTCACCCGCTTTCCTAAGCCCTTTCACTCTTACTGAAGACACCCCCATTCCTTGTTCCTGCAGTCAGAACAAGGCAAGCTCTAATCTAGGCTCCTCACCCCGTCTTCCTGCCCTCCCTCCACAAAGAGGACTGGGTTGGGATCTGGATTCTAGCCCTTACTGTCATGACAGCCTCCTTGATTATTTTTTCATTTAAATTTTTTTGTGTTGGGGATTTAACCTATGTGCTTTACATTGAGTTATATTACCCCCATGCACTTTTTTTTTTTTTTTTTACTGGTACCGGGGATTGAACTCATGACCACCTGCTCACAAGGCAGATGCTTATGCCACTGAGCTAAATCTCCAGCCCCCCATGCACCTTTTTGAGATAGGATCTTGCTAAATTGTTAGGAATGGACCACTGTGCCCAGCTACAGAAACATTTTGGAGAAGGCATCTTAGTACATTATACAGGCTAGGCCTCGATGCCAAGGCTCTGGGATCCTCTTGCCTCAATCCCCTGGAGAGCTGGGACTGTGGGTATGTGAAAGTGCATCCAGTGCTCTGGCTTCTGAGGATTGCCCTCTGTTCCCATAGCTGCTTCTGCTCAGGTCACGACTCCCTCAGGTCTCCTTCAACCTCCCAAGGCACCTTATCGGAGCCCACTCCTTTGCTGGGTCAGGGGAATCTAGACTCACTATCTTTTAACCCATCTCTTTTCTAACCATCTTCTGCTAAAGCTATCCTTCTCAGATACATGGGCTTTGTTGCAATGATCTTCCACCCCTCCAAAAAGCTATTTCTTTTTTTTTTCTCTTTGTACCAGAGATTGAACTCATGACCTTGTGCTTGCCAGACAGGCGCTGTATCACTAAGCTACATTCCCATCCCTCTTCTCTTTTATTTCCAGTGCACTGTTATTAGTCCAGTCTTCCAAGAAGAATCTGCTCATTCAGCAAACATTTTTGAGCTTCCGCTGTGAACACACAGCTGATTCAAATACATCTCCTGTCTTCAAACTGCTCCTAGACATGTAGCTAGCAGTCTCTGAGAAACGCACCCAAGGTCTATAGGATTGAATCACAGTTCATAAATAGGGAAGCTTGCGCCAGGGATTTAGCTCAGTGGCATAAGCACCTGCCTTGCAAGCGTACAGTTGTGAGTTCGATCTCCCGTACAAAAAAAAAACAAAAAACAAATAGGGAAGCTCTGCCCTACAGAGCCATGACCTAAGGTGGTACTAGGCAGAGCAGAAGCAGGCGTCCTGAATGCTGTCATGGTGCTTCAGGTGCCACCAGAAGGAATGAGGGGATTATCTGTTCTTATTCTGCTGATTGAGTCAGGCAGGATTCTAAGGGACTGCTAAGAGTTGGGGACCTGTACCCTGCGGTCCAGTCCTCTAAGTATCTGGTTAGAAAGGCAGAGGATTGGGCCTTGAGATGCTGGAAGGGAGCTGGAGCTCACCAGGAGAGCACAATGTCTGTGAGGGTCTCAGCCGTGGTGAAGAAGGCAAAGACGATCCAGTACATCATCCATTTCACCTGAGGGGACAGAGGGCAGTGTCAATTGGGACCTGGGGCTGAGAGGCAGAAGTACTCAGTTTCCCCCTTCTGCCTGCTCACATGCTGCAGGGGCTGTGGGGAAGAAAGGACACCCAGGACCTGAATTTTGTGGCTTACATTAAGGCTGGGAGAAAGGAATTCTCTGGAAGTTCCTTTTCTCAGGTTTTTAAAAAATTTTTGTGGTACTGGGCATTGCACTCAGGGTCTTAGTACTGAGCTACGTCTCTAGCCCTTTTTATTTTTTAGATTTTGAGACTACAACTTAAAGTCTTGCTAAGTTGCCCAGGCTGGTCTTGAACTTTCAGTCCTCCAGCCTCAACTTCCCAAGTGGCTAGGATTACAGCCATATGACTGCATCTGGCCTCAGAGTCTTATCAATAGCTGACAGTGCTGGCAGTAAGTCACCCCGTCTGTTGTGTGAGACCCACTGTCTTTTGTCTCTGCCATGTGGGTTGGGTAGGGGGTTTGGGTCATCCACTCACATATTCTTTCACGTTTTTGGTCTTCACGGCCTTGTAGGAAGAATAGGCTGGGTACAGGGTGCCGAAGATGAGCCTAGGGAGGCAGGCGTGGTTACTGGGTCCCTCTCTGCCCAGCTCTGCACCAGCCCCTGGGTCAGTGAGGGAAAGCAGCAGAACTCCAGAGCACCACAGCAGGGGAGATGCTCACGCGGGGTGGGGTGGGGTGGGGTGGGTGACACCCAGCCAGGGACAGCCATCTCCACCCAATCCATTGTTCACAGCTCTAGCACTTGCCAAGGCCATAGGGTCCCAAGTGTCCCTTCAGCTGCAGTCCTTGGCTATGTATTAGCATGTCCTGGTGTGTGTGTGTGTGTGTGTGTGTGTGTGTGTCTGTCACTGCCCCAGGACTGCTTTTCTTATTGGCTTTATGCCCATTTAACTTGTCTATCCCTACCCTGCACCTCCTTGTCTCACAGCAGGTTGGGTGGGGCTAGCTCCACAAAGGAACCTGACCCCACCTCAAAAACAAGCCACCTGGCAGTTAGAGGGCCAGAGGGCACAGGGGCAGGAGGCCCTGGAAACACCCTGGGGACTAGGCTCAGGGGAGGGCTCTGGCCTCAAGGACCTGTTGGGGATCCCATTACCGACCACAGACAGCACACAAGGAGCAGTGGGAAAAGTAGCAGCTCCCCTTAGGGAGCTTGCCCAGGCCAGAGGAGAAATCAGCCCACAGGCCCCATGGAAGTCTAAGAAACCAGGACACCAGGACGGGTCAACAGTGGATGGGAGGCAACAGGATGGGCTGCTTGGGGTCAGCCCTGTGGTGGAGGCTGAGGTGAGGCGTAGGCCTCTGAGCTTAGGGCAAGGTTGGCTCTGAGGCTCCCCAGGCTGCTGGTGCAGATGGAATGCGGGGCAGAATCCTCAAGGACGAAGTGTGTGTGTACAGAGCTCCACAATGTGGCTTGCAGCAAGGAATGAAGGCCACCACCGCCTGCCCATCCGAGGCTTTCACAATCCCAGGCTGAACACAGACATCCCTTCTCAGGTACCCCACACTTTGTCTTCCCCGCATCTCTGGTCTCCGATAGACACCAGACCTCCATCTCGGGCACCTTAGGGGCAAGTGTCTTGGCCCGTCTTCGTGTCTCCTGACAATCAGCAGAAGCCAGAGGGAGGAGGGCCTGATGGAAGCAGCCATGCTCTGTGCTATAGCAGGAGGCCCTGGCCCCACTACATTCCGGCTCCACTCCCCACTCTGTGCTGCTCCTCCGCTCTTCCTAGGGAGAGGTGGGCCTGATCCGAGGCCCTGGCAGCCCAGACCTGCCAGGTCAGGAGGGAAGAGCCCACCTGCCTGTAAACCGGTGGCTGCCTAGACCCCAGGACGGAGGGCAGAGAAGCTGGGGCGTTTAACGTAAAACCAGTCAGTGATGAATGAGGTGAGTCCCTGGGTGAGGTCTGGGAAGCCAGGCCCCCCATGGCCCCTTACAGCCTTGGGTCCCACATCTGTCCCTGGGAACCCCGGCAGCCACGATGCGCCCGTCCGTGGATGACTTGCAGCTGGGAGCAACCTCAGCCCCGCCACCGCCCCCATCACTGTCCCCATCACCCCCGCCAGCGCCTCCGCACTCACACCACCAGGCGAGAGATGATCCACGACACCATGGCGGGCCGGCGCGGCAAGGATGCGGCTGCCCGAGGCTGAGAGGTTGCGGTAGCGGCAGCGGCCGCCGCGGGGGCAGCGAGCACCGAGCACCGAGCTGCCGCGTTAAAGGGGAGGTCCCTACCGCAGCGGCGGGCCGTGGGCGGCGGCGGTTCTTAAAGGGGAGGCCGCAGGGCCTCGCCCGCCCCACCAGCACCTGCTGCGGCTGGGCATGCGCCTGCGCCTTCTGTGCTGTCCCCCTCTCGAGGTGCCGGTTCACCTTTCTTGGGCTTCAAGTCCACGGGCGGGGGTTACGGGGGCCTCCGGTCACGGTCTGATATTGATTCCAGCCACCTGCTCTGTCTACATCAGGCTGAAGGCTTAAGAATCGCATGAGGAATAAGAGCTATGATTTGTTGAGTGCTTACTGTGTGCCATTGCACTGAATGGTCATGACTCATCCTACAAGGTGTAAGTCATAATTATTCTCATCTTGAAAGTAAAGACATGAGTTTAAGGAGGTTCAGTAATTTGCAGAAAGTCACAAAACTACTAGGTCATACTCCTAAGATAGGAACCCAGGAAGTCTGAACAGGCTGCACCCCTAACTACTGATTAGCAAAACCCTCCCCCATTGCAAGCCTGTAGACACTCACTCGAAGTCCACCCCACACTTTCTCCGCAATCACCAACCCCTAGCTGAAAGAAGACACGCAGGTGCCATCTGGTCTGCTTTTTTAGGTTGTCAATAAACTGCAGGGGAACAGCTGGGCCCCGGGAGGGACCGAATTTCAATTTCAACAGTGGGGCTGGGACACAGGTAGTGGGAAGTCCAGGGGCTCCAGTTCCACTCCCACTAGTCAGCACTGTGGCAGTGGATGCCCTAGTTCTGCAGACATTTATATCCAGAATGTAGGCTAGTCTGCCTCCCGATTTCCTCCAAAGCAACTGAGCTCCAGCCTCCACCCCCACGCAGCCGGACCCATTACACTCCTTTCCTGTCCCATTTTAAAGCCGCTGCATCCCTCTGCCTTTTATGGTGAGGTGCAATCTTTCTGGGGATCACAGCACCGACCTGTGCCCATTTAGGTTGAACGGACCTGCTGAGTTCTGTATTTCAAAGTCATGTTTTATTCAGCCTTGGCACCGTCAAACCACTCAACAGTCTATTTCCAAAACTGGTAACTGTATTTCCAGGTTTGAATGCTTTGGAAGATGTTTTCCAGTAGGTTCCAGAGAAGCAGTCCCTGTGACCCCTCATGCTAGTCTTTTTTTTTCTTTTTCGTTTTTACTGGTACCGGGGATCGAACTCATGACTGCCTGCTTGCAAGGCAGGCACTTATGCCGCTGAGCTAAATCCCCAGCCCCACTCTTGCTAGTCTTTACAAAAGCTTTCCCAAAAGGCCTCTTCTGATTGTAATGCAGTCTGTTCACAACAATTCACACTTCAATTGTTGCTTGATAAAGGAAAACCTCTGTCTGGCCTCCCTCATTCCATCTTCTTTAAGGTAGATAGATCTAAGGCCGCAATTTTCATAAAAGAACAGTCAGGTCTCCTGCTTTGAGGAATTCCACCAAGTGCCCCAAACCTTGCTCTGGTCATACACCAGAGCCCCTTCCCCCAGAATGCCCACAGAAGCCAGGACCTCATCTATCCCAACTGGTCACAGAGCACAAACTATGGGAAAACCATTTCGACATCCATCCACAATACCAGGGATGGCGATCCTTTGAGTTTTCAGTGGTAATAGCCTGCTGTGGCATACTGCTCTAAATCATATTGACCTCACCCTGGAATTTTCCTTCTCCCAATTGGGTACAAGTTTAGAAATCAAAGAATGATGAAGTGTAGTACAGTAATGCAGACTTGGAAATAAATCCCCCCTCTCTAGTTCAGCCTTCAGTGTGGCCCTGATTTTAGAAGGGTTGGCACAGGAAGAATGTAGTTCACTCCAAACAGATTTGTTAGATTTTTAATAAGAACATGGAAATCCCAATCAGCCCTTCAACAAAATTAAAATACAGAAAGTGAAATTAAAAGTATTCTACAGTAAATGACTTTTATTTAAAAAAAAGTGTGACCATATAAACAAGCCTGCAGGGCACTACAGTACAGCTGGAAAGAGATAATTTCCCAATGTACCTATGGGCCAATGAATTCCATCATTTTCAAATAAATTCTTAATAAAAACTCCACTGAGTTGGAAAGTTTTGCTGAAAATATTTCTGGACAAAAACCCAAAAACATCATGTTGGAAATGAAATTTTGGGTTTAGAAATGTCTGAGGAGTCCAAGGATCGCTGGTACGAGGTGAAGATGGCTCCTGGAGTCACCAGTGTGTGTATCAGGGGGACACACCACAGCTCAGACAAGATGAAGTTCTAGATGACTGTTCCCCCAAGAGAACATTAAGAGAGGGCAGGGGACTGGATGGGACTAAACGAATTCTAAAAAGCCAATTCTCTTAAATTTTGCTTTGGCTGAATTTGTGCTATGATGGGCAGCTGATTTTTAAAAATCATATTTCTTCCAAGAGTTTTAGCGAAAGGAAGACTAAATGTAATGTGCCTTTCCTTGTAATCCAGGAAAACAACTGTGGCCATTTCAAAAATTCTAAAAATATCTACTTTCATGAAATAGTTACTATTTCACTACAAACCTATTTTTCACTAAATACACACATTTCCTAATCCTGGAGCCTCCTGGGAAAAAGCAGCGACTCTCTCGGGTCCTGAGACTCCAGTGCTCTCGGGAGGGCTGGGGAGGGTTGCGCCGTCTCCCGTTGAGCTGTCAGAGGTCCCGCGCAGACACTGGCAGGCTTCTGCCAGGCACCTGTAAGCGATCACCCCTGCTAGTACCAGCTGTGGGATTCCCTCCAGCTCTAAACACATTCCCATTTAATTAGGCACAAGAGGAAGAGGAAAGAAAGGTGTGCCCACATTTCTGGTTTCCATGATACCGAATCGGGAAAATGTGCAGGAAAGCCCGTGACATCCAGGCAATCAGATTCCCGGAGCTGCAGGGTGGGGAGGCGGCACCCTGGGCTGGAGTCTGGAAGTGTGTGAGCAGTGCGGCCTTCCTGTGTCGGCCTTCAGTGCTGAGGCAGCACAGACAGTGGCTGGAGAGTCTGTAATACTGACCACACCGGCTCCAGGCCGAGGGCCTCTGCTTGCGATGAGAACCCTGCCAGCCCCTGTGAGTGTCTTGAGAAAGACCTGCTTCGTGGGGGAGCTTGGGATTTCTCCGTTCCTATGACCGTGCCAGTTTGGATTCATGAGCCTTGAGGGTGCCAACAGCATCTTTCACTGCGTGGTAAATGATGTTCTTCACCTGGAGGGTAATCAGCACCATCAGTTCAGGGCCCTTGTGTGCCATGCTCTGAAAACCCAAATGTATGCTCTACCCTGACTCAATCTATTGGTTAGTGAGGTAATCCCAACAATGACTGCGTGCTGCCCAAATTAATCCTCACGGTGATTTATGGTCATGTAGCTTACATGGTCCATTTCAAAGAAAGAACAATGAAATTGGAAAGGCCATCCGCTCGCCATCATCACTGGGTGTTCACCATGTTCTTGGTTTGTCACTAAGCTCTCTATATGTACTTTTATTTACTCTTTGCCATATCAATGGCATATACCATGGTGCTGAGGATTGAACCTGGGCCCTGGTAAGCATTCTCCCACGGAACTGCATCCTCAGACCTCCTGTGAGGCAGGAGCTCACTAAGTTGCTCAGGCTCTTCTTGAACTAGTAATCATCTAGTAATCCAAGGCCTGTGAGTCACTGGGATAACAGTAATACATCACCACACCTGGTTTATCAACTTTGCTATTGCTACTGTTAATAAGGATGCAATAAACACTGGAAGGTAAGATTCTGAGGTGTTTTTCCCTCTGTGCTTATATGTATTCTCTAACTTCTTTGGAAAAAAAAAAGTACACAGGAAACTGGAAGGTACAGTAAGTTATTAAAATAAAGACAAATGGTGGGGGCCGGAGATTTAGCTCAGCGGCATAAGCGCCTGCCTTGGAAGCAGGCAGTCGTGAGTTCGATCCCTGGTACCGATAAAAATGAAAAAGACCAAAAAAAAAAAAAAAAAAAAAAAAAAAAAAGACAAATGGTTAAAGAAAGTTTTTAAAATGGATGTGACAATTGTGGTTATTTCTTAAAAAAAATAAGGAAAATGGTATAAAAGGGCACTTCAGCAATGCAGCTGTGTACATCTGCGTGTTGTAAATGTATATAATACTTTATTTCATAACAAACAGGGAAACAAATCCCCTTTATACAGTCTCTATTAATCTTTTTTTTTGTACCAGGGATTGAACTCACAACCTTGCGCTTGCCAGACAGGCACTTATGGCCACTGAGCTTAAATCCCTGGCCTGAGTCTCTACTAATCTTTTTTGTATTATTTCAACAAATATTTATTGAGTACCATGTGTCATTGTGCCACGGAAAACTTGAATAAAACAGCAAAATTCCTGCTTTCATAAGAGTTCAAATAGCTTTACCTTCTAGAAGTAGTTAATAAACAGATAAAGTAAACAGATTGTGGGAAACAATACAGAAAAACCCTAAAGGGCTGGGCGTGGTGGTTCATGCCTGTAATCTCAGCACTGGGGAGGCTGAGACTGGAGGCCAGCCTGGGCTATACAGAGGAAAACCTTGTCTCAAAACACAAACAAAGGGGCTGGTGATTTAGCTCAGCCGCATAACCGCCTGCCTCGCAAGCAGGCAGTGGTGAGTTCGATCCCTGGTACCGATTAAAAAAAAAAAAAAAAACCACAAACAAAAACAAACCAGGAAACAAGACAGACAGACAGACAGACAGACTACAGCCTCCAAGGGCAGAGAATAGGGGATTATCACACTAGAAATGACCTGGTTAAAGGATGGTAGTCTCTAAAGGGAATCACAGAGGATGGATCAGATGATTCTAAAAAGATACCAAGGACCCAGACAGGCTTCCGTGTATGTGAGCAGGTGAGGGGAGACAGCGTCGATGGCGGGGTGATTTACCTGCAGTTTATCCTCATGATTCGTATGCGTGTTGGAGAGATGCCTGAATTCCTGAGTCAGGCGGAAGCAGTGCTTCACATGTTCTGGAGACACAAAGTCTTCTGCTACTTTAATGCAACTATACAGATTGTGAACCTAATGTGGGGGGGGGGGCACAGAGAGAAAACATTAGACATAAGAGCTATATCCTTGGGCCTTTTCTTTTTTTTGCCTTTTTGAGA